ATTACAAGAAGCGGAGAATGTAAATTAATAGTCTTTTTTTTTTTTTTTTTTTTTTTTTTTTTTTTATGTATATGTATATCTTTTCCCACGTTCCATCTCTATATATTGATATGTAAGTGTGCGATTATTAACTATATATGAAAATAAAATGTAATCTTTATCGGATGAGGTTAAATATCGAATAAAGATGAAACTGTAACTTTTAGTCTGTTTGCTATTTCAAGTAACGAGGAGTGTGCCGCATTACGATGATTGTTTTGTAAATATTCCAGAACTGAATAAATATTAATTGTGAACGCCATTGAAGCGTGCAATTTTAAACGGTGCTTACTTCGTAAATTTTCGTGCGTTTCATAATTACCAAAACGTTTCGATGCTTTCCATTTAATCGCAATAAACAATGCACGATTCAGGAAGGTGGAAAGATAGAGAAGGAAGAGAAAGAGAAAGAGAGAGAGAGAGTAATTTTGTGCCTACATGTACACTTCATTGTGCGCAATTCTCCAGATTTGCGAGCAACAAACGCCGCCTGCCGGAAACGCTAATCATGCAATGTGGAAATTTGGTAGAAAGAGAAAGAGAAAGATAGAGAGAGAAAGGAGGAAGGAGAAAAAGAGAAGGGGAGAAAGAGAGTGCGCTCGCATTATGCTAACGATATTCGGCAAAACGAATGGCCTGACCGTGCAAAAAGGCAACGGTGTCATATATTAAAGAAATCCTCTCTCGCTTTTCGTGTTCGAGCTCCTCGCGCATATTCATCCTCTGAGCCAGAACGAGAGCGAATTCCGTTTTCCCCTCCGAACTCGGCTCGCTCAATAGAAAGACGAGTATTCAACAAACGCGATAACTTTGTTCCTAGCCGACCTACCCCAACGACGACATGCCAACCCCCAGGTTTTTTTCCTTCAGATACGAGAAATACCAACCAATTAAAAGAACAATGGCGCCTGCAAATACCCTTGTCGTTCACGCGCTTTCTCTGCGAGCCGCGTTCATAAAGCGTGTTTCTTTGTGTACAGCTCGGTTGTTTTCTTTTTTTTTTTTTTTTCCTAAAACAATAATCACTGTAAAACAAGAAGATCTTATTTTCTTTTCGCCGACGGTATTATTATAATTCCGCAAAAATCGAGATTAATAGAATAAGAAGAACGAAGTTATCGACTTAACAATTTTTTCTGTTCTTCCCCGCTGTCACCGTTTTCTTCGCGAGAATTCGACAATTTCGCAAACTTTTGCGCGAATGATCGTAATTTCACATAAAATTTTTTCATCCGTTATAAAAAGATATTCCCTGAGATAGATTTCAATGTGACTTTTCCTTTCCGGAAATTTGATTAAGATACTCGTTTCTCTCGTTTTTTTTTTTTTTTTTTCAGTTTCTTTTATTCTTTCTTTCTTTCTAATTCGCGTATCAAAAAGCACGACTTCTTACGTGTCATAAATCATATTTCAGTGTTTAAACGTCACGGATGAAAATGCGTTTTCGTAAATGGGGAAATAGAGATTACGCGGGAGTAGATCGAAAGCGCAAAGAGGATAGAAATGGAATAGCGAGTCGAGTGGCGCAATAGCGAGTGCATTACAGACACCGGTGATGTTTCTCAACACGTCGGTTGCCAAGCCCGACGATGTAGCTAAGAGCGCCGCACACTTTTGCAAGAATGCAGAGAAGCGCGCGCGTTTGTGCCAGCCGGATAACTTCGGTAATAATGGCCCATCTCTCGCGAAATCCGAGATGTCGGCGCATTTCGATTTTCGGGATTTTACTCTTTGGCCGAACGACGTGACGTGTTTTATTGCGCGCCGCGCAATTTTGTTTTTTGTTTTTTTTTTTTGTTTTGTTTTTTTTTTTATCGCGAACATGAAACTACCCTACAGCCAAATTTCATTTGGTTTTCGGACGCGCGCCGTTTTTTTACGTACGTACGTACGTACGTTCGAGTGATATATTTGCTCGAATTATCGATACGGTTACATTTCACGACACCTTCGTGTAACTGCAACTAGTTCGACCAAGTTTACACGGACTTTAAACGAATTATATACGATGGGTTTGCGTTACATCCGATTACGCAAAGGCGCGAAAACTTCGGATTGCGTTACGTCTCTCGGGGATTATCGTCGTGTCTGCGAAATGATTAAACACATCCTCGCGCGTAACACGTTATTACATTTCTGTGAGCTTCGCCGTGTAGATTCCGCGAGCTCGCGGCGGAGCGCGCAGTCTATGTCAATACATGTACGCGAAAATTGAATTAACACAAGTCGGAGAATAATTCTCGCGCGCCCCGCGCGATACCCTAAGATACGTGAGTTGTTACAATTAAGGGATGATCACGTTCAACCTCACGTTTAATCGTCACGTTTAAACCCTCCGCGAAAACGTGACCGGTGAAATAATGTGCAATTAGCGCGCGCGCGCAATATTCAGTAACCTCGCCATCATTAGGTCACTAATCAATTTATTCGAGGCTGCTAAAATTACTGCAAAGTAAGTTAAACATTCTTCGCGAACGTGCGCGGAAACGTAAAATTAAAAAAAAAAAAAAAAAACATCAACATGATGAAAATTTTAATTATTTCTGATATTTCTTGTATTAATGTCAGTAGAGAAAAAAAGAGAGAAAGAGAGAGAGAGAGCAAAAGTTTATTTTACATTAATGTTTATTATAATTTCCATTAATGTTCCACGGTAATTCGAAAACTTTTATAAAATGCAATCTCCATCTAACGTTAACAATTATTTCACTCACTCATGTAAGCGAGTGCATAAACTGATACGATCGATCTATCACGCCGAGGCTATTACGTTACAATCAGACGTAAGTACGTTTGAAGCGGAAATTCTCTGACGGCGCGAACGCGCAACGGCGCGTCGGCCTAATCGCCTAATTAACCGCAGACACATAGGCGATTTATTCGAGAGCGGAGGATGGGAAAGACGCGCAAGGGCGGATATGATTAATGTTGCAACGCGCCGAGAGAGACGAGCTTTCCGGCTTCTTTCGTGCGCCGAGGATGCTCACGCGGATGCCCAAGCTCGCCAAACAATCTCTCTTTCTCTCTCTCTCTCTCTCTCTCTCTCGCATCCTCTCCTTACGTGTGGAGAAATACTTCTTCTCAGCCACACCACCGTACACACAGCACATCTCCAAGACCGCACCCACCCATCTCTCCACCTGCAAAATAATTTCTCGAAGGGA